GTCCTGGTGTGCGGTCCGGGTGCGGGCCAGGGGTCAGGGCCCGCGTGGGGTCGGGGTGCCGGCCGGGGCTCGGGTGTGGGTCGCGATAAGGTTGTGCGCGACGGTCCGGGTGCCGGCTGTAGTGCGGGTCCGGGTCGGGGATCAGTGTCGCTGTGGGAGTCGAGGGCCCCGGTGGGGGTCGGGGGTCGGGGGTCGGGGGTCGAGATCAGGTCTGGCGTCAGGGTCTGACCTCGCGTGGCTGAGCGCGGCCCCTGCCCTAGGAGCTTGGCCTGGCGGGACCGATGACCCGGCCAGATTCTGCAGTGCCACTGCTCACACTCCTGCGCTCACCTTCTCACCATGTGCATGGGCTGTTTCTCGCAGGGAGTCGCCCAGCCCCTTAGGGAACATTCTTCTTTCTTTCCAGCCTACCCATTTATCTCTTAGAGATCTTCTACTCTGCTTGGCAGAGCTGTTTCTGTGATTTTTTCCCCCTGCAGTGTCTTGCAGATGAAGAGTGCTAGGAAATCCTGGAAGAATGAAATTATTCTTTTTTAATACCACCCCACCACCCGCCAAATTTCCTGCCACTTGTTCCTCATAGTGATCACCACATACTGGATGCTTAATATACTTGGGGGTGAATTTATTGAAGGTGTTTGTACGGGGACCTGAAAAAGAAAAAAACTATAAAAGAGCGGGTTAGTATTTGCTGATGAACAGCAGAGCCTGTCTTGAGATTGGTGGTAACTTTCCCCCACGGGATGGTGAGTTCCTGAGTGATGCAGAGCATCACTTGTTTGTTGGCATATCCTAGGTGAGCCGCACTGGGCACGTCCACAGAGGGTGCACAGCAAACATTCATTGTTGAGCGGACTTTGCCGAGGCTCCTGTAACCCAGGGTGGCAGCAGCCATTTCCATGGTGCGCCTGAGTGCGATGTTGACCTGGGGAGCTCAGCCATGCTCTGTGGGAATTAGGAATCAGTTTGAACTTGCAGGTGTCTGGGGCTCCTACTCTCGCCCCATGTTGGTCCTTAAATTTCACTTCTCACTCTTTCCAACAGGTTCGGTGTCTTACTCTCCCTCACAAACTTTGCTTTACTCGTTTTTTTTTGCCATCTCAGCTTGTAACGTGTGTCTCTCTGTGTTAAAAACCCTGGTGGTGCTTACAGATCTCTAGAATCCCGCCCACATCCCAAGGGCTGTCTTGACTGGCCTCCTCCTCCTAGGCCAGTGCAGCACCTACACCTCCCTGGGCAGTGTTTGGGGAAGAGACTGCTGTGTGGAGAGCCTGCTGGGAGCTGGGCCTTGAGCTGCAGCGCCTCTGCCCTGTGCAGCAGGCAGGTAGCATCCTCCCAGGAGGATCAAGTCACTTAGGTAGGAGGTGAGTGGCCGACTACCATGATTGCTGCCCCAGCCTCACACTTTTATTCCCTGTGTTAGTCTTGTCTCCTCACTGAAGGGGAGAGCCAGGAAGGAGGCGGGAGGGGCATACCTCATCCTGTGGGTCTTGGTGTGGCCTTGAGCTCATGGTGGCTGCTGTTCCCACCTCCTGAAGGGTCGGAAGGAAGAGGACCATTCAGGCAGGAATGATTTGGTTGGCCAGGCAGCCAGGTTGTGGAGAAGGAGTTTGGGTTCTCAACCAGGATCCACTGTTCTGCTCTTTTCCCCACAGGTTTTTCCTAATCTAATATCAAAATTAATTATTCTACCTGTGTAAAGATCAATGCATTAATTGCCACCTACCTGATAAAGATGTTAGGATGACTGACATATTGGAGAGCACTTTCAGGTAATATGTGAAGATCCTCTTGTGAAAATTCTCTGCTGCCTGAGTATTGTACTCAAATCTCCATGTTAGTATTTTAGCTACTGCTAAACCAACTCAGCCTCTTTCATAAACTGAAGAATTGATTCTGTGAAATTAATGTCTCTTGTTGCTTAAAATTATTGCTCACAGCTGTAACTGCCAGCACACTGGAAGAATGTTAAAAGGAGCAAAATGAGAAAGTTTCAGGAATGTTAAATGCAGGATACTCTTAATATTCTGCCTGTTTTATCAGAAAAAATAATACCACAGCTGTTAAGTAGTTTGACGAGGAATGAAATCTAGCTTAATTGATAGCTAGCCGTATCTTGGTCTCAGAGGAGAAGCCCAATATAAGGGCGATACTGTCTTTTCTTTTTTTCTTTTAACACGTCTTATGGTAACAAATGCTCTTTACATCTGACCCAGGACACACATATAGGAATAGTCATCCTTACTGCATACAGTGCAGTGTAATATTTTCTTTTCTGTTTCATGGGAAAAAAAAAAGCTTATTGCTACTGATTACATGGATTTTATAGTGACCTACCACATTTTGAAAGCCTCTGGTCTGAGAGAACCCAGGGCCCTGGCCGTGTCTAGGGGTGGCGAGGAGCAGAGAACATCACCCCAAAAGCTGGACCGAGGGGTATTGGAAGATCCAGGTTGATGGAGGAGAGGGAGAGATCGGGGGAGGACAGAAGTGATGCAGCCAGAGCACCCCCCAGTCCCAGGAAGCGAGCAGCACCCAGGTGGGGAGAAGCCCAGGCTGAGAAGCCCCTCCTCCCCAGATGCATGCCCTGCACTGCCCTGAGTGCCCCTGTAAGCCGCCGCTCCTGCTTTCGGACCTCTCGGGGCCTCCTCATGGTCCTTAGGCTAAGTCCTTACTCCTGAATGGCTTCGAAGGCCATCTGGGTTGGGCCCTACTGACTCTCTGGTCTCAGGCTCTTGTCCAGACTTGTTCTTGTCCCTTGACCAGGACCGTCTTGGCCCCGGACCTTGTGGGGACTGTTTCTTTTGTTGGCATGTGCTTCCTTGAAACCTGCCCCCCTGACTCCCCTTCTCCTGTGAGCTTCTGGTCTCAGTTTAGGTACGGTTTCTCCCGGGAAGTGCTCCCTGACACCCCCAGGCGCCTCCTGCAGTTGGGTTAGGGGTGATCCTGTGCTCCCTCAGCACCTGTCGGGGCCATAGCGTTGACCTGTCCTCACCGCCGGACTGCCTTCTGTGAGGACTAGGCAGGGCTTTGCACGGGAGGAGGCCTCGCATGCGGTATAGACAGTCAGTTGTTCGTTGAGTGAGTGAGTGGCATCCTGGGTGTGGATAGAGGTTGACAGCCCTTCGTGTGGGGCGGTGGTGAGCAAGCTGTCCCGTGGGGTGCTGACCACAGTGTTGCTTTGTCTCTTGAAGGTGATTAGGACGACCGGTTTCATGAAGGGCCTCTACACGGATGTGGAGATGAAGTCCGATAATGTTAAGGTAGGTGTAAGCGTCCTCCCCTTGGGGGTGGGGTTTTGTGAGCTGTGCTCCGTGGCAGCGCGGGTGGCAGCGCAGGTCAGCTGGTGTGTGGCTGGAACACCAGGCTGGTTACCCCTGGAATCTCTGTGCCCCTCCCTCATTTCCTGTTCTCATTTGCAGCAACTGCATATCATGCTAATCTCATCCTGGAGGAATGGAGCTAGTGTCTCAAAGGTTAATGCTAGCCCAGCACCTAAAATTAAAAGCTTTATTGAACTTTTTTTTCTAAGTTGTTGTTAGAAAGAGTCAGTATTTCTAAATTTGTCCTACATCTAAAAATAGCTGTTTATCTAGACAGGAACTGTGCCTGTTAAACATACGGAGGATAACGCAAACTCTTTTGCAAGTATTTTAGTATTTGTGTTTTAAATGGAAATCTTTCAGGATAAAGATGCAAAAATTAGCTTCCTTCAGAAGGCCATAGACGTGGTGGTAATGGTCTCTGGAGAGCCACTGTCGGCAAAGCCAGCTCGGATTGTGGCGGGGCACGAGCCTGAAAGAACCAACGAGCTGCTGCAGAGAATCGGGAAGTGCTGTCTCGGCAAGGTAGCGCCCCCGCCCGGGCTGGGAACTGCCGGCTGCGGCTGGCGGGG